TGTTTTGTGTGTGCCTACATTCATATATAATTAGACGTTTTTGAAAGAGCTCTTCTTTTTTTCCTGTTACGTGGCAGTCTGAATTTCTCTCTTTTTTTCTGCACACTTTTTCTTACTGCTGTCAGCATGATGTTATTGTTATACCGGATCGTTTGGTATTTCAAGATCACAGAGTCATTTTTGGTGAGAGCCAGTTTTCCATGGGAACATACACACAATCAAATGAGCATTATTTTTGCAGAGCAACTGACACTGTCAGATTAACATAGCATAGATAAGGATTTATCAAAATGTTTTCAACCAAGGCCAGACTATTTATTAATCCCCTCACCTTCAAAAAGTATTGTGAATTACATAACGGAACCAGTCTCCAAAGTCTGTACGATGTTTTCTTGCATATTTGAATATTTTGGAACAAATCTCTAACATGTATTTTAGAATTGTAATAGAATGTTGTATTGTATCTTGCCTTTTTTGTTTTTACAAAATGCTGTGATTCATGGTGAGCTAACTGGTTTGGTTCAAGGCTTAAAATCCATATGGAGACAATTAATGAGGAAACTACACCATACAAATATTTGAAGACAGTAATATTTTTTCTCTTATGCTCACCAAGGTAAAGTAAAAACAGTGATATTGTGAAATTTTATTTCAATTTAAAATATATTTTAATATATTTTAAATGTGTGATGCATTTCTATGTTTAATGAACAGTGCGTTCAAAAGAACAGCATTTATTTGAAATAGAAATATTCTGTAATATTATAAACGCATTTACTAACAATATTTATATAAACATCACTGTTGTACTGTACAATATTGCTTACCACAGTTTTGCAATTATATTTTTGTTTTCAATTCAGAAATTTTCTGCTGACCCTTTTCCTTCTTAAGACGGTTTATCCGGGGGTCCACAGACACATTAAAGTCACTAGACACTTTACAACTCAGACCTGACACTTGTCTCAGGCACATACCATGCTGAATGCAAACAGCAGTAAAGCTTTCTCTTCTGAATGTTTATCTCCATTCAGAGGGCCTCTCTCTGCTCACCTCTCTCCCCCCGAGCGCTTATGACATAACTGCACATTTCACCCTCCAAGCACATCTGGATTTCTGCTCTGCTCCAAAGAGACTGTGTTACCCCTCAAAGCTGCTTAAACCAAACTGTTTAAATCAGTGAATGGCATTAGAAACGAAAAGCACTGGACGAGTCAATGTCAGTATACTTACGTGCAAAACTTCAGATTCAGTATGGTCCAGTCTCACGGGAACAGCGCATAATGGGTTTCATTTGTTGACTACGTCAACTGACCCAAATAAGTCTAACATTTCTTGAGGGGATAGTGTGAGCATGCAGACTTGGCCAAAGAGGTCAGATTAGGTTGTGGAGTGTTTTGCGGTGAGATAAAGCAGAGTAGAGCAAGGCTATAGATAAGGACACAGCTCAGGAGTCAACTGGATTGATTTAAAGCTGGTTATCCTACCTCAGTCTGGTGACCTGACCCTTGCGTTGTTTAAGAAGGAAACAGCAAAGTAGATTGTTGATTGATTTAACATTATTTATGTGCCCACACAAAATACCTTCAACCAAATATCTATGCAATGACAATGGCCTGAGCCATTAGAGTGCATTACTGTTAAGTATCATACCCTTCAAATGTAAACCTGTTTGTGAAAAAGTATAGTGCAATTCATTGTTGTAAAGCACTAAATCATTAAAAATCCTTTGTTATCCTTTTAAAGTTTTGTTTTAACTCTTGTGTGTTATTTGATATTACATTTAATATATTTTGAATGTACTAATTCACAACTTCTTCATTACAAATGTGTAATTACGAATATTTTGAAATGCATGACAAAAGTTTCAATAGAAATGACAATAAAGTATATTTTAGGTTGCTATGAATGCTTGCATTAGAGTGCTACATTACAGAGTACACTTTAAACATATTTCAAAGACAATAGAATTATGAAATTACATATACTTAAGTCCTAAAGAACACTCATTCCATTTACTATGAATTATAATTTATACATTAAACATTTTCATTTAATTGCAATCTCTGTGATCCATATAATTGGGAAAAGGGAGATATGTCTGGCTCCAGGTCTATTTACCTCATAGGGTAGCAGAGCAGGGAGAGAGAGCGAGACACACACACACAGGTCTGGCTGCTCTCTTTGCAAATGTTCTTATGATGAGAAAACCATTCTCACATCCCCCATCGTCTGTTAAACGCACTTGCCTAGCCACATATTGGCATTAAACACATATACAGTGGCCCCAAAATATTTTAACACCTTTGGACAAGATCATAATTAAAAATGTATGAATCTTGTTGTGTTGCACAAAACATCAAAGTGGCATTAAAAAGGGCTTTACTGTTGATGGTAGGTCCTTCTGCCATGATTGGGAGATTTGACACCGTGGTAAATGGCAGAATTGCAGGTTTCAGTATGATTATTTGATCAATCAGACACTGGTTTTGGTACTGGATATAATAATGAGTGTTGAGACTGTGGTAAACTATGTTAGTAATGGAAAAGTTTGGTTTCCTGTAAGTAAACAAAGAGCTAGTCAGTGAGACTACACATGGTTTTGATGTCAGTTTTTGCTACATGCTTCAGCAAATTACACACATAGGTTATGCCCTGTGGTGTGTTTTGGTGTGTGAGATGCAGGGTTATGTCAAAATCTGAGGCCAGATATGCTTTGTTGAGTCTAATTTTGAATGAGTTTAGGACCAATAATGAAGTGAAACAATCAAACTTACTGCATTCACCCTGAAACTTTTTGCAATAATTTAGTATAATTCTAATTAGACTGAGCAGTTGCTGCAAAAAATGCATCAGTCAACTTTTCAATTGAAGGTTCAATATTTTAAACTGCTTCCCGGAACTTAACAAGTTTAACAAGTTTTGACTTGTAAAAAAAACATTTTTCTTTATTTTACATGCAAAAAAACTGTTTTCTTTCTTTTTTTTTTCAAAAAATTCTCAAATCTGTTGGGTAATTTCTTTTCATTTTCCCAATTTTCCCATTTGCCTCAACTTACTGAAATAACTTTAAAGGGATAGTTCATCCCAAAATGAAAACTGTCACTTTTTTTTAATATAAAAAGTCATATACACTTAGTCATATAGTCATACAGTTAGGATGGCTTGAGGGTGAGTAAATCATGGGGCAATTTTCATTTTTGGGTGAACTAACCCTTTAAAACCACACTTCAGTGTAGCGCTGCCCAGAGAAAATGACTAAAAATTAAACTAAAACTAAAATATAAACTGAAAACACAAAAAGGTATTTAGAAATGAGTAATACTATAAAACTTAATAAAAAAAATATTAATAAATATTATTAAAATCAATTACGAATAAAAACTTCAATAGTAAACTTATGATACTAAAATAAAACTGCTCTAAAGCACCAATTTTTCACCACAGTCCCATTGCGGGACAGTTTGACAACTCTGTTCATCACATTTTATCTGTTGGCATGTATTAAATCCAACAGGATCTAGGCAACTGGAAAAAGTATACGATTTCTTGTGCATCTCAAGGATACAGCCGTAGTAACTTGAGCAACATAGCTGGAGAATGGTGGGAAGAGAAGTAGAAAGCACTAAAGAAGGGGTGGCAGGAGTTGAAAGGGAAGAAAGTTAATAAAGAGTGAATGAAAGAGTGGGAAATGACTGAAAAAAGAAAAGAAAAAAGGAGAGACACTTTGCTATACTATAGCACTCTACCCTGACCCAGTTGCAGAGCTGATATGAAGTTGGACTCGTGCAGTAATTATAGTCATTATGAAAAACAATCACATATCCTTCATAAGGATAAAATGCTCCTATTTTTCTCCGTCTGCGAGGTGAATGGGGGCAGATCATCTTTCATAGACAGACCCTAAGATGATGTAAACTGTAGAGAGTTGGACCCTGTCTTTTCTTTGGTCATGGATGAACATTTCCAGCAATTGCTAGAGGGACGTGACAACAAAGCCAGGACCGTCACACACATCAACACTGACATGAACAGACGCACACACATATAATCAGAAAAAGGTGTTTCTGCTGGCCTTCAGCAATAAGAGAGCGCCAAGCTTGAAAACTCAGAAGATTTATAATAAAGCCCCCTCCTCCTCCCCATACTGCTTTCTCAATCTCTCCCTTTCTCTGCTCCACATCTGTTTCTGGCTCTTCAGATCAGGCCCAGGAGTCAACAATATATAGGTCAACGTGCACAGCTGAAACTATGACCACACTCACTTATTATCTGATAGAAGGATATTAAACAGCCATGCATGGCATCAAGCAGAGAGAATTACGAAATACACTGTAGTCAATCTTCATTATGGCATATGTCATCTCTTTAGATGTTTAGTGAGCTCATGCTGGACTACTGCTGAGAGAAAAAAAAAGTATTTTCAAATAAATTGGTTAGACTGACCTCTGTTGGCGAATCTGATGATGCACATAAAATCACAAAAGGGGATATTCTATTTACATTAACATGTAACTGATAATAAAGTAAAACCTGTAGTGTTAGTTACATTAAATTACTGAGATTAAATTATATTAAAAGTGCATTCAGTAATTCTTATTTCGAAATTCTTAATTCGCTTAGACCAGGGGTGTCCAAATTCAGTCCTAGAGGGCCACAGTCCTGCAGAGTTTAGCTCCAGCTTGCCTCAACACACCTGCCTGGAAGTTTGTATGCCTAGAAAGCATAAAAGAAAGACATAATGCTTGTTTTGTGGCACAGCATTCTTTATTGATCTGTTTGCAAAACATACATCAAAACAAATATACAATGAATTATAAATGTTGTGTACAGGGCCGGCGCGTGCCTACACGAACTAGGCAAAAAGGAGAGATTTAATTTTTCTTTTATTGGACATTCGTTTGTAATTATTGCACTCATAGCAACAATTTATCACCTCATTATTCTAATTCTAATTTAACTTTCTTTCATAATAGTGCCGCTCCCGTGACGCTAAACAACAATGAATTTATTGATAAAAATAGTTGCAGAAGAAGCATCAAAGAGAGCAAACGAGTCCAAACTTAGAAGTTCCTTTCCATCTCAAGACTCAATTCTTGGATATTTCTCTTTGGCCAACCGCACAAAGTCTTCAGCACTGTCCAAAGACACCAGTCGATCCTAGGAAATGATCATATCAATTACAATGCTCATTATTCCAAAAGTCCTTCAGCTCAACCAAGCTGCTTGTAAAATTGGCACATCCTTGATCGAGTAAAATATAATAATGTAGAAAACTTTTTACATTATACATTTATCATGATGAGTCCATTTAATGTACACATACAGTATAATATTGAGGCTGTTGGACTGAGGACTGTTGTTATTTATTATGACATTACAGTAATTTACCATGACAAAGACATATCTTTCACTGTTGCTGAGTCCACGGGGGAAGAGGTCCGTCTCCTCTGACACTATGCGCAGGAGATCTCTGGCCTTCTCCACATTGTCCCAGCCATTCAGAACAGTCAGTCTGTTCACTGTCAGTAAGGAGTCTGCCTCCTTCTGGTAACCTGGATCAATAACATACATGTACATGACTGCACTTCTTCAGACACAAAGACATGTTCACACTCCACTGCCATTACATGGGCAAATAAGGGTCACGTTTTACTTGGTATGCTATTGCTATTATTGCATAACTTGCATTGTGCATTATTCATTTAAGCATAAATAACTGACATTTTTAAAGATAAAATGAACATTGTTCTTGTAAGCCATTTAATTTTTTCAAGAACATAGAAAATAAAACATACAACTATAAGTAAAAAAATAATACATTTATAAAATAATTTAAAAAGAATAAAATAAATATATAATATATAAAATAAATATATATATAAAAATATAGTCCACCTCACCCAGCTGAAGCAAGATCTTCTTCCAACGTGTACAAACTTCTTTACGAGCACACCTCAGAGTGTGGATATCATAGTTCAGTTTCTCCCATTCCTAAAACACACACACACAAATAGTGGAAGTGCAGTCAAAGAGCAAGACACAAAGAAAGCTTTGAAGAGCTTTGTGGATGGAGGCATAGGTTTACCATTGATTGATTCTAACAAGTTCAGAAGTGCATTATAGAACATGTGCTCTCCAGTTGTCAACAGCCTGATAAATATGAGAAAAGCTAAAGCTACTGTATGAAGTGGACACTGACATACAGGAAACATGAACAAAATGAGGTTGTTAAAATCACAAATATTGCATTTTATAAAAAACTAAAACAAAAAAACAAGACCTAAGATTAATGCCAAGCAAGAATTTCTGCTCTGATCATCTGATTGTGGTTTACAGTTAAAATGACCAGATCAGTGTGCTCATCTCACTTTAGGTTTGTGTCTGAAGTGAACTCTTCATCACTTGTCTTTCTGGTACAGTTGAGCTGAATTCAATTTGAGAAAATTGGCAAATTACATCAGCCTGAATTCTGATGTATTTACTCGTAGCCAAAGTCAAATACAAAAAAGTTGAAGTCACATCTTCTCTAAAGCACGAAGCAGTACGAATAGAAGGACTTATGGATTTTGTGCTGGTCCAGGCATAACTGCATAAAATAATCTGAAAAAGATTTTCTTTTGCAGTGTGATTTGAATGTTTGGATTTGGATGTGTAAAAAAGGTGACAGCTGTGTAGCGTGGGTAGAGATGACCATTAAACTAAAAATGCGACCAACATTACACACAAACTCAATTATAATATAATATATAATACATAACTTCAAAGACCTTTCCCAGAATTCACAAAGTTAATTTCAAGAATTGTGTAGGCTGTTATTCATATGGACATTAAAAAAAAATCCATGAAATTTACAAGCTAGTCACAATTTAAGAATTGCATCCAAGAGTGCATGCGTATTTGTTTCTCACCTCAGTATCTTTGTCCACTTTGTTCCTCATCTTGATGAATGCGTGTAATTCAGACCCCTCAGTAGTGGAGATGGAGGTTTGAATGCTGCTCCAGGTCCTCCCCTCCTTCTCGGGTCCAGATCTGCTGTCCTGCAGCTCATGAGCCACTGTTGTCTCATTGCCACTGGACATACTGGTCCTGGTGGAGGCAACACTGTATTCAAAGACTTTATTAAACTATATTTCACAAATACATCTGGATATAGTACTATAATATTCAATACTCAAAACATGTATTAACCCTTTCTATCATAAAAACATCACTCTCTTGTAATATTTTTTTTTTCATAATAAATCTCTTTAACTACACACAAGGAAAAATCGTATGCAATGATTAAAATTTATACAATTGTATACAAGAAAAACACCAATATTTTGTCACTTACCTTAATATACAATCTTTCTCCTCAGTAGTTTCAAGAATAGGACAGCAGCCAGAATAAAAGGCGCCCATTTAAGACAACAAAGTTTTTTTACCCTAAAATGAGCTAAAATTCAGTACGCCATACTCATAGTTATTGTTCCTTATAGTAGAGCCAACATCCTCCATGCACTAGGACAGAAATTTGTGCTGAAGTTATTTCTCACAGGCGGTGTCCTTAACTTGATAATGGGCGACTCTGGCCATGTGACTGCACTGTTTAAATGCCCTTGGGACTAACCAAATTCAAGACAGTCAGCACAAATAAAACAAAAACACTACATCTGGAGCTGCCTTATTTAAAATGCATACATTTATGTCTATATGTAGAAATTACTACTGTAGTTTATGTGACCCACACGTATAGTTTCTTTACAATTCTTGCTTCAAAATTCAAGGAACTCTCGGACGTTTAACTTTGCACTTTGTTTAGAACCAAGACAATGTGTTGAGCTATGTCAGCATTAGTCTGAAAGATCCAGCTGCTGGTGATGGGACAGACTCAGTGAATTTACACCAGGGTTTGTCATTTTTAAAGACAGTTTAATACAAATCAGTCTCAAGCATGTCATACAGATACTGAGTGTTAAGTTAATAGTGCAGTACGGCTCACTGCTGCTCAGGCTCCAGGTTTGAGACCATGGCTAGAGTAGACATGTATGGGCTTGGGCTGGTCACTAGGGGGTGCATCTGCTACCTGTTGTCATTCGATTCGGCCTTGTACTGTCTGTTGGAGCCAAGACTGTTTTTCCTACACATGCATAAAATGAAAAATAAAGTCCTGGCTAATACCTCTTCAGTGAAGAGTCAATGCCACTTGGGTACATTTCTTATTAAAAAAAAGGTTATGGCAAAAAAAAAAGTAATAAAAAAAAACTGATACAGATAAAGTGAGATCAACATAAAATGAAGATGTGACCTGGAAGAAAGATGGTGATGGCAATGAAAGATGGCAATGATTCGGGGTCGTGTCGTCAGCACCAGCTCACCCAAGAAAGCTTCCGTCATTAGGTTCTGCAACATGTTCAGCAAAATGTCCTCCACCAGGTCACAAAACTCAGGCAACCTGCAGAAAAGAAGGAGAGAGAACGAAGATTAGTTGTTTAAATGACAACATTTGATTTACGACTAAATTTTTTCTTCTCTAGTGTTATAAGAGCCTCTCTAGTGTCACAGCACACCTGCGAATGGACTCCTGGACCTTCATCTTTATCTCCTCCTGGACTTCATTCAGAGACTCCTGGTCACACTCACTCTTGGGTCTGTCTGCAGTGCTATAGTTTCCTGTGTAAGTCTCTGCTGGAGTGACACTGGACACACTAAACATTTCGACAGGGTTCTGGCTGCCTGCAGCAGAGCGGGGTTGTGTTTGTGTGGGGAGCGAAGGAGCAGGCCGCAGCTGTGTGACGTACGGCCCCTGCTCAATGTCGCCCTCTACCAGAGACTGCTGGAACTGAGGCTCATCTAGGAGACTCCTGTAGGAAAACACAGAATGACCGACCACGACCAGTGTGAACTCCTACTGAGCAAGAGTAGCAATGACAGTTGTTCCATTTGATACATCAGAAAAGTTGCAAAACGTACACTACCGTTTAAAAGTTGGGGGTCAGGTTTTAGAATGTTTTTCAAAGAAGTCTCTCACCAACGCTGCATTTGATCAAAAATACAGTACAAACGCCAATATTGTGAAATATTGTTACAATTTAAAATACCTGTTTTCTATTTGAATATATTTTAAAATGTGATTTATTCCTGTGATGGCAAAGCTGAATTTTCAGCACCATTATTCCAGTCTTCAGTGTCACATGATCCTTCAGAAATCATTCTAATATGCTGATTAATTATCAATGTTGAAAACAGTTGTGCAGCTTAATATTTTTGTGGAAACCATGCTAAAAAATGTTCATGATTCTTTGATGAATTAAAAGTTTAAAAGAACATCATTTATTTGAAATACAATCTTCCATAACATTATAAATGTCTTTGTCACTTTTGATCAATGCATTAAAAATTAAAACATCTTTTCTCAATAAACATATTCATTTAAAACAAAGAATCAAACAAAAAACTGACTGACCCCAAACATTTGAAAAGAATTGTATTAATAATACAATATAAGACATACTGTAGTAAAGAGGTGAGAACGTGTGTGATAATGTCTCTCTCAGGACCCAGAGTAAATAAAGAGGGGGCAGGTCTGCAGGACAGTGGCATCTCTCACCTGTCCCAGAAAGAAAAAGCTTGGGTTGCCTAGACCTGAAAGAAATATAAGGAAAAAAGAAACCATCATCATGTCAGACTTATTCATTTTTAATCCTCTAACTTACTCTTTATCTCCAGGTTTAAATAAAAAGTTCATAGATTTTCAAAGTTTTGCACCCCATTGTACCTGTTGATGTAATGAGTGTTGAACTGAGTGGAGAAATGTGTCTGATACTCCATGAGGCTGTGAGAGTGACACCTAAGTGGAGTACTGCAGGACGGGGAGGCTCGGGACGTCTTCTCTTTTCCTGACCTGTCTGCTGCTGAGCCCGCTGTTCAGCCCTGGGTCTCACTGAGGGACCGCTAACAGCTTGATCACTGCTACGGATGGGTGGAAGAGTCTGCCACATGACGAACAAAATATTGATGTCTCATTTTTAAATATAATGTACACATAAATACTGCTTCAGCTGACTGCTACCATGTAAATTAAACCCAACATTTGAATGTATTAACTTGTAAATAAGACTTATTTGTAATTTTTCTGGTGTTGTTTACCTTATATTTCCTTGTGCCAGTTTTCTGTTCAAACACTGCACTTTCCTGAGAAGGTCAATTCGTTTTTTTAAATGATGTTTTGATACAGTGAATAAATTGTGAAATAATATTTGTCAGCATTAAAGACTTAAAGGGGTCATATGATGCGATTTCAAGTTTTCCTTTCTCTTTGGAGTGTCACAAGCTCTTGGTGCATAAAGAAGATCTGTAAAGTTGCAAAGACTAAAGTCTCAAATCCAAAGAGATATTCTTTATAAAAGTTAAGAGTCAACCACGCCTACCACGTTCAACCGAGGACGAGGACTGTTTCCTGTGAGAGTAGCCTACAATGCCGGTGTCTGTTTCTATAAAGTGGGGCAAATCCAACTTTGCAAGGACAGTCTGGCGCTTCTGACTCACAGCCTGTAAGTAAGTTTTCATATTTATATTTGCCACTGACGATTCAAACGCGAGTTTTGAGTAGCGCTTGTTGTTTGTCGTTTCACTGATCACAAATGCAGACATGGTTTTATGTTTATGCAGCACGATATGCACCGCAACGCGTAAAAAGACAGTATAAGTCATTATAATCAGTAATTATGTCCCCATTAGATGCAACAAATGCCTCGTTTATAATGGGTTTTAATGTTTTTGTCTCGTCGCTCCGGCCGGACAGGGCATCACAATATGGTAAGGGGCGTAACATTTCCGTCACACGCTTGAGGTATTCGGCCAATCACAATGCACTGGATAGCTGGCCAATCACAGCACACCTCGCTTTTCAGACCGATGAGCTTTGTAAAAATCTACGCGTTTCAGAAAGGCGGGGCATAGAGAAGAAACAATAATGTACATTATGTGGAAAATAATGTGTTTTTTGAACCTTAAACCACATAAACACATTGCATTACACCAAATACACAAAATAATGTTCTTTTTAGCAACATCATATGACCCCTTTAAATGTGTGCATTTATCCATAACCTGAGTGCATTTATCCAGTTGGTAAATGCACTCAGAAAGTTGAAAGTACAGTCATGATTGTGTTATATAACTTAGTATGTACAGTACCGTTCAAAAGTTTGGGGTCAGTAAGAAATTAATACTTTTATTGAGCAAGGACACATTGATCAAAAATGAGAGTAAAGTAATTTATCATGTTAAAAAAGTTTTCCATTTCAAATAAATGCTGTTCTTTTGAACTTTCTAGTCAAATAATTTTGAAAAAATTTACCATTGTTTCCACAGAAATATTGAGCGGCACAACAGTGTTCAACACTGATAATAAGAAATGTTTCTTAAATCAGCAACAAATCAGCATATTAGAATGATTTCTGAAGGATCATGTGACACTGAAGACTGGAGTAAAGATGCTGAAAATTCAGCTTTGCATCACAGGAATAAATTACATATTAAAATATATTCAAATAGAAAAAAGCTATTTTAGGCTGCAATAATATTCACAATATTATTGTTTTTTGATATATGATTTAATAACGTCTCAGGTTACTTTTGTAACCATGGTTCCCTGAGTAGGGAACGAGACACTGCGTCCTCTAGGGGTCGCTATGGGGGGCACCTCGTCGTGACCCGTGTCTGAAGCAAACATTGAAAAAACACCAACTCGTTGGCCGGCGACAGCCATGACGTCACTACCGGTGCGACTATAGTATAAATAGGCGCCGGGAGCTACACATCATTCACTTCTTCGTCTGAAGCTTGCGTTTTGTTTGAAGCGTGCATTTCTGTGGTAAGAGCGATCTCTATCTCATACTACCACGAGGACAGCCCATGGAGCGAGGAATCCAACTCCTCAGAGACGATTAATGCTCGAAAGAAACATCATACTCACTATAACCCTCAATGGTGAGGGGGGTGATGCTTCAAGAGGATATCCTGGTGATCGGGAAAACCCCTCAGGGCGACCCAGATACGGTAGTGCCCCTCTTTCCTCGAAAAGAGAGACAAACGAGAGCGGAGCTTTTTTTTATTTATTTTTTTTCTCTTGGAAAAAACGCTCGCAGTGCACGCCGATTGCCCCCTCGGAGACATCGCGTGCGTGCTCTTTGCCCAAACAAAAACAACGCATAGATCGTGTGTGTCATCAGATGTTAAACAACGTCAACACGGATGCACACATCCTTAAACGCTTTGCTAGTGCTCGCCATAATGAGATGAATAGAGATCGCTCTTACCACAGAAATGCACGCTTCAAACAAAACAGTCAATGAAGACGAAGAAGAGAATGATGTGTAGCTCCCGGCGCC